ACTTCTGGGTCCATGTTCAGCTTGGTGTCTGCAGTAACATCCAGATCATTTTTAGTGAAGCTGCAATTCAGATGTTCATGGCCTGCGCAAGTGTGTGCAGCTCTCCTCCCTGAGATGCAGACGTCTTACTGAACGTTACGAGGTTTCTGTTGGCCAATTCCTTAAGTATACCAAGAGCCCTTTAGAATACATCTCTGTCATTTGTCATGCTAACCACTCCCTCTTAATTTATTATCCTCTTGAAATTTGCTGAGGGTGCATTGTGTGTCATGATCTAGGTCATTGATGAAGATATTCACTGATACCTTAGGTATCCCGTGTTCCTCTGCTCATCACTGGCCACTTGACACATGCTAAGTGATGATCATCACCCTTTGAACCTACTGGTTAAGTCAGTTCCCAACTCAGTGCCTTCTTTTAGTCCACTCTTCCTCAGCTTTCAAAGCATGCTGTAGGTGACTGGGTCAAAAGCCTTACCAACACCACTGCGTGCAAATGAGCATAGCCATGCTGGGAGAAGGATAACTAGCAAGGTAATGCAGCACACAATCCAGGAGAAACCCAAAAGGCTATCCACAAGGTTTCCAAACCATTACAAATCATACTTATTTTCTGATTAGCTGTACATGTTCATCCAACACTTCCTTGTGTTTGGATGAGAGGCTGTTGGAAGAGCTTTAAAGGGTGCTCCCAGTGTTACAGCTTTTCCTGCCTACAGAAGAGGTGTGAGAAATACCTTTGCAGCCACTCCCCATGATAACTAGTGGAGAAAAGGAATTACCATGTGTCGCACAGCAGATCCCAGAAACACATTAGTGGGAGTTATGACACGAGTCAGGTATGACTTTGGAGTCAGCTGTGTTTTCCCTCAGCAAAGAGGCAGCACCTGTGCTGTGGCACTGCTTGGTGAAGGGCAGCCACTCCTCTCCCCTCATCCAAGCAGTAGAAAGGAATCGGGAAAGACATCAGGAAAGTCAACCAGTCTGGACAAGCACATAGACTGCTTTTAGTCAATCTCTGATGACTATTCCAATTACCTTCTGGGCCCTTAAATGCCTGGCATTTAAGTTGAGTACTCTGGCTTTTCCTTTATTATCTGTCACTACATCAACTTCTCTCCTATTCATCACCTTTTTCCTTCCTCAAATTTTACCTTCATTTTTTTAAAGTAGCACACATCTGCAGAATCACTTTTGTTTTCCTTTATGACCCATGATGTTATGTATTAGCTCAAATCAATCAGCTTTCTAATTTTGTCAGCAGGCAAGCAGTCAAGCAATGCTTGTATGATTTTGTATTTTAGGTCATCAGAAAGCTCTTTGCTCAGCCATGAAGGCCTTCTGCCGAGTCCCTCTCCTTTCTGCTCAACAGGATGGTTCCTTCCTGAGTTCTCAATAAGTTTTATTTAGAAACCATCCATCTTTCATGGGCCCTGTGTTTCTGTGGCAGCATCCCAAGAGATTTTGCTAAGCAACTCTCCAAAAAGGCTGAGGTCTGCTCTTCTGAAATCTTAACAGCCATAACTTGCTGACTATCTTTCCAGACTTCCTTTGAATCAAGAACTAAGCCAACTCATGGTCACTCTGATCCCAGCTGTTATTTATCCCAGCTGGTGACATTCGCCACAAATCCTGTTTCTCCCCTCTGGCAGTATCAGGGATTGGTTAGGAACACAATCAGTGAATCCCCTGCACTGCCTGCACAACAAGTTAATCTTACTAGAAACTAAAACAAGCAGCATCTTACTTGCCACGTGTACTGACAGCATTATTAGACATGTATTTTTTATGCACTTTTGATCCCACATTCTACTAATCTGAACTTGTGAAGGTGATAATGGCTGTAAAAAATACAGGAAGCCAAAGTTTCCATTCTAAATGAATTTAAAATAAATCCAGTAAAATCAAGAAGTAAAATATGCCAATCACTGATAATATTTCGTACCAACAATACACACAACTTAAAAAAATTCAGTAATTAAGAGACATTCAGCTTCATTAAAATTTATGGCTGATGGTGATTTGTTACTTTTTTAACCCTTGTGCTCAGATGAGTTTATTTTTTATATAGAATGAACTAATTTTTTTTCAGGCACAGATTCAATATCAGACCAAAAAATACAAATTTTTATAAATTGAAACTTATTTTTGTTAGGCAAAATAGATGTATTTAGGTAAAAAAAAAGCCCCAACAACCTCAGAATTGGAATGAACAAACAAAATAAAATATAAAACCAGCAGGAGGAAGTAGGCAAATTACATAGAATGTTTAATCATTTAAGCTTTACTGGTAGATTCAATATCACAAGTAAGTTAAAGGGAAGCTTGTCATCTGCCTCACTCAAAACACTTGTACAGCAAATTCCAAAATTGCAAAAGCCTTTTTTAGTGGAGAAGTTACCATCTGAAATATTTTTAGCTGGCACAAATGAAAATCTGCCATAAGTGTTGCAAGACTGCATGGGTAATAAATTTTTTTATGTGAGCACAATGTAAATTAGCCCTGTAAACCTATTACAGCAAGAGCCAGGTGGTTTGAATGGATAGCACTGCAGTAGCTGGCAAACATCTTAATTATAAAACATTATGTGAGAAAACCTAATTATAAATGCTGCAATTAAGGCGTCTATAGGTTTTACTAAAGTTATCAATATGATAATTGAATTCCCACAAGATCTTCTGAATTGGTCAACAACAATGCAACAGCATTGAACAGAAAGAGTGCATTCACTATTCTGAGTTTATAGCTGCGAAAATGACTGTGAGAATTAACTGCTGTATTTCACTAGCCCCACTTGACTCAATAGGCAATAATTAGACAAATGGACATTAAAAAAACCCCAACTCAGCAGCATTTAAGGGTTAAATGATTTGGTTTTTAAGGTCAGAGCTTCTTAGTCATTGTAGTTAGAGAAGAAAACTGGTCTTTGGCTCTGCTTGGTTGTCTCTCAGATGTATGTGCATGTCCAGCAAGGAAATGGCAAGAAGAGTAATTTGTCTTTAAGACTATGTTAGTTTTCTCTTTGTGCTTTTGTTTCCTGATGTGGCATATTAACTATTATCACTAATAAAATGAAGCTCATAATACCCTGCTCCTTTTCAATAAGTCAGAGTTAACACTTGTTCAGAAAGATGAGATTGGCATCTGATTTGTGCTGTGGCATTCAGAGCCTGCTCTGGTCACTCAACACCCTTACTTCTGCTGGTGCCACACACTGTCACAGAAGATCATGCTCGTAGAGTCAGCACCTCCTGTCAATACTGCCAATGCCACAAGAAGATTTTGGATATCAGACCTTCATTAGCCAATACATTAATTTGGAAATCCAGACAGGAAAAAGAACACAGGAGTGGAGTATTTCAGAGAATATACAGAGCTTCTCTGGGCATTTTTTTTTTTTCCCTCACAATAATGCAAAATGGACATTGGTATGAATACCTCAGACAAGAAACAGACCGTCAGTATTTCATTTTTCTCTCAGGAGCTAAACCAGCACAAGTAGCTTGTTTAAAAAGAGTCTAAAAATATCAGCATAAAAAAAGGCCAGAAGGACATCCTAATTAATTTCAATACATATCCTGTATGGTTCTTTGTAGGCTTTCTACTGGGTATCTGCTAAACTGTTGGGATAAGAGTGTCACTGCCTTTCCTTCTATGACTATTTCTTCTTTTCTTCTTTTTTTCCCCCCTCAAAGTAACTAGAAAGTTAAAACCAGCTATATGATAACAAAGAAACATGACTAACAATGTTTTGTCACGTTACAAACCTTCTAGCTGTTTACAAGGTCTTTTCATTCCCAGGACTGCTTATCTCCCTTTTTAAAATTAATCCCTTCACTTTCTGTGACTTCATGATGTCCTTAGCTATTATTTACTTTTAAGCCTGCAATTTTTTTTGCTGTTTTTTAAACTTTTCTAATTCTTTCTCAGGAACTGTGGTGCTGATGTCTCATTATAGAAGAAGACCATTCAGCCCTACAAGCTCATTGACAAAGCCTTCATTACTGCAACCCAGGTATTAAAATATTGGTATTCTCCCTATACATGGGCGTTTGAGAAACTATAAGATCATTATTAGAACAGGTAAAAACATTGGTGCAGATTTAATGAAATCAATGTCTAACTATTAATTAAAAATGTAACTTCTTGGAGAACCATTTGGAGAAAATACATCCTAATTGAATGTCTCATAAGTTGAAGGAAATCAATTTCAGCTTTGCATTCTCAATCAAAACAAAAGAGAAACCCTTTTAACCAAAACAGGAAAGAGAAGTGTGGTTTCCACACATTTATGTCCTGATTAAACACTGTATCATGATTTAGTTACTCTGAATCTGTCTAATCCAACAAGTTAAACTGCTTGATATAGTAATCACATACAACAAGAAAAAGCTGATGAATACGTAAGTGGATGAGATTCTTTGACTTGTAAGACACGGGCAAGTCATATTAGAGGATCAGAACAGCCTCCGCCTAGCACCAAAAAAAAAAAAAAAAATCTCATTTTCTGTGGCCTTAGACATTATAATGAAGGCTCATTTTCCAAACTGAACAACTTCTGTCTTCTAGGTGAATGGTAGTGTTCTTCAAACAAAAAAAAAAAAAAAAAAAAAATCTCATTTTCTGTGGCCTTAGACATTATAATGAAGGCTCATTTTCCAAACTGAACAACTTCTGTCTTCTAGGTGAATGGTAGTGTTCTTCAAACAAAAAGATAAATACACACTGTCTCAACAGTGACATTCAGTGTTCATCTAAAACAAGGCATAAAAGAACCTTCCCAGCATTTTGCTCTATGTCTTCTACCTTGAAATTAACTATACACATACAATTCTGCTACTATAGGTCCATGCAGTAGTCACAATTCTTTAGGGATTATTAAAAAAAAAAGTCGGAATAGAAATCTACAGTATGCTGCATTTTATTTGAGATGCACTAAATGCTTAAATTATGTCCTTTATAATTTCATGAAAGGCAACAAATAAAGAGAAGCATCTGACCTGGTGTAGTCATCCTCCACAAGCATGTGCTTTGGAATTGGTGAGTATCTTCCTGGTGAGATAGGGGCCAGGGATGCCTTGTACTCTAAAGTGCCATTGTTTCCAGAAGAGAGTATATGATTTTCCATTGGTGGAGAATAAGCTGATGGTAAAAATGAACATTTCTAGTCAGCAACCTTAATGTTCCATTAGATTGCACAAGAACATAATTTTTTAAATTTAAGTACCAAGAACATGGTTCAATGCTGTAAATAAGATCAAAACAAACAATCCTGGCTTGAGCAAGCTTAAAATATAACAACAAATAATGACCATCTGGAGTTTTCCCAAAAAAAAAAAAAAAATTATTAGTAGTAGAAGTAATGATGGCTTATTTGCAGGCATTCACTCTTTAGAGGATCTTTAGTTTCTGAAGTGGGACTCTGAATAGGTCTCCTGTTTGAGAGACAGGAAACATTTTCTTCACTTAGGACTAGCAGAAGGAAATGCAATTAGGAAAGAATGAGATTAAAAGCACTCTTTTTGGCTCCAATGTGCAGTAATGGGAGTAACATAGTAAGAACTCAATGCAGGATAAGAGCAGGAATTTTATGTGTGGTAAGAATTATGTATACATTCAAAGCTGTTATCTACTAAAGGTGCCCAAATCCTCAGTATAATTGAAATTCCAGTATCAACACAGGTGGTATTTAGACCACAGAAAATTTCTATACTTAAAATATAAAATGGATGCAAATATCTAACTGATTAATGATGAAAGTTACATTACTGTGTTCTCTGTTTATATATTGGGTTTGCAGGGTTTGTTGTTTTTGTGCTTTTTACTATTCTTAAGTTATCTAGGACACTTATGACTGCAGAGATGAAGTAATAGTTGTCTTCTATCTCTAGTTAATTTAATTAGAAAAAGAAAGGCTAAATAGAAAAAGCAGTGTTACATGCTTCTGCAATGAGCTGTGATTAATTTTCTCATGAGAAGAAGATAGCTAAACTTTCTAGTATTAGTTTCAGTCTTTTTTTCAGATGCTGAGATACAGAATGCTTCAAAGCAAAATCTCTCTACAGGGAAAGGCCATTATGCATTCTGAAATACTCTGAACATGTAGGTGTAATGAAAGGTTCCCTGAGGATAAATGAATCTGCATGCACCAACAGCTTGGGAAGGGCTACTGCAAATCTTTTCAACCTTTACTTTCCCGCTGGAATTGTTTCTGTCTTCTCATATGCTGTTGATCTATAATCTGACATAATAAACCACACTATTTTAGACCTGCAAAATTATTATTTTGAAAGTATTATAAAGCTGGAGATGGGATAGGGACATTTAGCATTTTTACTTCCTACCCTTTGCTAACATCCAGACCAGGCTGCTACTGAACAACGTGATTGCCATCTGTTGTAACATTTGCTAACTAAATGGGCATCCTCAGCATGGCTGAGCATACCACTGACATACATGTTACAAAACCTTCCCTTCTGTTTTCATGGAGCAGATTGAATAAGGAGGATTTGGGATATTGAGCTTTTCCCTCAACTTTGTCAGTCCACAACAGCAACATTGCAAAAGTGCAGAAAAATTTAAATCCTTAGCATTTACTGCCCTTGGTAAATTTCCCCACCCTTAGTTTGCCTTAATTGTCCACAGAATTATTAGCAGGAAATCAAGATGGGTATGGGTTGACTGCTGAAGCTCTTGTCAAAAATTATATTTCCATCCAGTTGTTAGATGGTGCAGCTGGTCCCTGTTGGATCTGAACCCAAGAAAGACAGTTTTTAAGGAACAGCTAATGAAGAAAGGGAGTTTTCAGTAATTAATTGTTTAGACTAATGGGTATCAGTGGTATAAAGAGTGCAGTTGAAATGTTAAGATTCCTGTGAATGCCAAGGGGATGGAAATGCCTTGGTATGGACACCAGGAGGAATGACAGATATAGGAATGGCATGTATTGATAAAGCTAGATTCATCAATAAGTCATCAATACTCAATAGAATTACATGCAACTTACCAGGAAAGCCTACGCCCAAACTAAAACAAATATTCAAGCCACTTAGAGATGGTAGTGGGAGATAAAGACTAGTTTGGAGCCTAGGACACTCAGACAGGGAGCCAGCAGAGATCTGAGTAAATCCTAAAGACATGCATAGTAGGGACAGATGGCAGAGACAGAAGATCCTCATTGCTGTAATCTCCTTAAGAGTCCAAAAAGCACTCCAGCAAGGAGATTGTCAACATTATATATATATATATGATAAGGACTCCACAGCCAGCCATCAACCCTTGTACGTGGTCAGCTCAGGGAGTCCTGGGGATGCACCTGGATGCACATCTTTCTATATGAGTGCTGGACATGAGCCCAGATGCTTTTGAGTGCATGGATATGACACCCTGATTGAAATCAGTTAGTTTTTAAATGAGGACATCTTCCCTTCCTATGAGATATTTCACTGAGTTTTACCATATTATTTAAACAAATTTTCCTACGACAGAATGTGCATTGAATGCAAGGACAAACAAGGCCTTGGTCCTCTGGAAAAAAAAAATCCTGATGAACGTATATAAAGCTAATAGATAGACTGAGAATAAAGCAAATTGGACTAATGATTTATGAATTCTTCACAATAGGAGTAATAAAGCACTGGAACATAGAAGCCATGGATATACCATCCCTGGAAGCGCTCAAGGCCAGGCTGGATGTGGCTCCTAGCAACCTGGTCTAGTGGAAGGTGTCCCTGCTCATGGCAGAGGGACTTGAACGAGATGGTCTTCAAGGTACCTTTCAACCCAAACCATTCTGTGACTTCATGAGTTGGATATCCACAGAAAATAGGTAAAGTTTTGTAAGTAGAGCAGTGATTTTTACATTCCAGTAAAATATTTTATTCAAATATGAGATATATTTGCCTCAGGCCTCTACTAAGTTTGTACAAGATGGTTTGCTGCTTGTTCCAATTTTTCAGTGGACAGAGGACTCCAGGCTACAAATCTAATCATATTACAAAACGCATTTGCATATACTTATTGCTGTAATCTTCACAAGAGTTACAGTTCAGTCTGATCACTTGGACAATGGCTAATTGGAATGAGCACAGCCATGTATCTTCTACATTGCTATTTTTGCTGCAAAAATACTTTAGCAGAGTTAAATTATTTGCAATATTTCTTGAGCGTAGCATTCTTAGGTGGCAATAAACATTTCATCTTTGTAGCCTTCCAAGCTGTTTCATAAACTTTAATGGGGTACTTTGAACAAGCTATGAAAAAAATACAATCATCTGACAAACTGAAATATCTCTTGTAAAATAAGTTGCAGAAGTCACTTACAGTGAGTAATATCTGGTGGGCCATATGGATCTGTCATGTAAATGGTGGTGGGCTTTCCAACTTTCAGATACACTACATCTGATGTGTTCTTCAGTATTGCTACTGCCTCTTCATGGGTAACTTCTTCTAAACTGTAATTATTTACCTTAGAGGAGAAATCAGAAAGGTGAGTTGAAATGCAGAAATAGGCACAAAAATGATATATCCTTGCAGTTTTCAAAATATTTGGAACATTGCTGAAAACAAAGAGCACTAAAGATTATAAAAGCAATACTGCTGCAGGGTAGAAAACACAGTTTTCTTAGCACACGCATGTTCAAAGACTGATGTAGCAATACTGATACACAGAATCAAAATGGATCAAGAAGGCATTTAGTTTTGACAATAGGAAGGTCCTTTGTGATGTTCTGCTATTGGTAAAATCACCAATATAAAATTTTATTTAACAATAAATTAATAGCACCACATCAGTTACAGAAACTATCTACATTAATTCACCTAACAAAATAAACTTCCTAATTCATCTCATAACCTCCATAGCTGGGACCTCAGACCCAACACAACCAAATCTTTCCATCACTGATACAACATTGACCATTGAAATAAGAAAAGGTAAAAAACAGCATATAGAATATCTATAAGGTGCATGAATTGTAAAGGGCAGTTCCAGATGAGGAAAAGATATTTTTCATTGTGAAAGTTTGTCAGTTGTCTGGAAGCGCAGGAAAAAGACATTGAAAAAGTTAAGAGAATGTAGTACTAGTCCTGTGCTTTTTTTAGAAGAGAAAAACACTTAAGTAAGGACAGAAGTAGAAGACAACAGATAAAGTAGAAATGAAAATGGTGGCAGAAAGCTTTGCCTATTTATGTTTTACTCCCACAGAAAGAAAATCAAAAGAAAAGAATGTGAAGTGGTTTATTGTAGAGGCATATAAAATGTATTCACATATAAATCCACTGTATTCACAGAATGTCCACAGTAGGTCCTCCTATAAACAGAACTGTGAATGTTCCCTGCCACAAAATGTATAAACCTCCTGAATGGAGAAATTATAGGTTAGGGGCGAAAAAAGTAAAGGGTGTAGATCCAGGTTTCAGGCATGTGGTGTAAGACAAGAGAAACAACAGAATCACAGAACACTTTGAGTTGGAAGGTGCCTATCACTGACGTCAAGTCCCTGCTCCTCGCAGTTTCCTGCCTGAAACTGAACCATGTGACTAAAAGCATCGTCCAGACTATCCTTTAATTCTGGCAGGCTTGGTGCTGTGACCACGTCCCTGGGGAGCCTGTTCCACTGACCTACATTTCCCAGTGAATGTTGTATATGAAACATTTTACTGTCATTTAAATTGCCATCCTCTAACTTCCACAGTTACTGCAGGGATTCCTTTTAAAAATTATGCAAGATGCAAGCAGAATTCCCTCCTCACTATAGTATAACATAACAGGGAATCACAGAAAAAATATATTCCTTCCAAGGAATTTAGCATCAATAAATTATCAGAAACCTGAATGTAACAATAAGCAACTGCTAAAGGGTTTGGCAACTGGAAAAAAATCCAGCTATTATGAATCACTGGAGGGCTCTTCATATCCAGATGATTTCATCAGCACCAAGAAAAAAATATTTTTATTGGACAGTATTGCTGAATGTAAGGATTCCATCTATTTTTTTTCCCTTGTATAATTCTCAGGCTTGGTTTCAAGGGTAATTAAAAGAGACAATGGCAGGTATGATAATTTGACATGAAGAGGGGTGATAGATCCTAACACTCAGAAGGGAGCAGCTGACAGGGTATGCTGTATTTTGACAGGTCCTCTATTTAAATAAAAGTCTTATATCTAACTTCTATAAATTTCTGTCTCTTTCCTTGTTATGAAAAGCAATCACTCACATATACCTTTAATAAAAAAAATGTCTTAAATTAATAGGCTGGCAGGAAGAAGTGACTGAAATTATACCTTTCTTGTTTATATATTTCAAAACTACCAGACACTTCAGACTCACACATTTTAGAAAGATCACCACAAGGTTATCCTTTACCTCTTCTCCTTCCCATGTTGTCTGTACATTTGTATCTACCTTGTGTTTCATCCTAAATTTTTTTGAAGTAGAGAAAATCTCATATGACCTCACTCACTATACAGCTGCTGCCTACGTTCTCAGTCAAAAAAAGATACAAAATGAAATATCTTAGAACTGGCTGGATTTTGACTTTTTTGTCTTTTTAGAAGTGAATAAAAACAATTATGACACAAATTTACATGATACAATTTTTTTTTTCCAAAGGTGTTGGATTTGGGTTTTTTTGGGGGTTTGTTTCTGTAATTTAGTTGACAAAAATCCATCACAAGATACTTGGATGTCACAGCTGTGCAGTAAAGAAGATAAAAAGCCATTTTAGAAACAGAAAGTAAGGTATCATAGATACAAAACATGTTTGATACAGCAGGTCCCATGTTTTCTCTCTGACAATAACATTATGGGACAGATGTTTTACCAACACTGTACAAATTACTGAAATATAGAAGTTAGGACTTAAGGAGTTTAAGCAATTCTAAACTAAGATTTAATGTTTATGCAGTTCAGCATTATGTTTATCTTTATACACATAAAGATCCTGGAGTTGATGGCAAAGTTTACATAAAATCATTTTGTCCTGGACTGCTCAGTTCTCCATAAACAAAGAAATAAAGACTCAATGTACGTCAAGAGAAAACAAACAAACAAGCTTGTTGATTCATTCACAAAAATTAAGGTCCTCAGTGTATCATAAGGTCTCTTTTAAGTGGGAGCTCTTTCAGAAGGAGATGAGATCACCTTCCTTAGTCATTTGCCAACATCATCTTAGACTTGCACTTCCAGACTTCCTTCAGAAGGCAGTCCTTGCTTTGGATCTATAATTCCTATTAATAATCCTATGTGCATCTATCAATATATTTTCTACTTTCTGACCATAAAACAGTGATCGCAAATAAAGACATCTGTAGGTATTCTGATACACAAAAAACTTGAATTCTTAGAGGAATTCTATTATTTAGGCCCCTTGATATTATTGCAAGATGATTGTAGCATGTCATTTTTTTCATACGGGAATCTCTGGACATCTTTCCTTAAAACACTGTACAAGAGACTATTTCTGAAGCTATTTCTTCCATAAAAGATGTCTATCTTGACAGAACTGTAAGTACTAAATCTGTTTTTTCCAGCGGTTTGGCCCAATAAATGCATTATAGCAAAGCTTTACTTCCTCCTGGAGAGATAAACTTAACATAATTTTACATATAGCTTGCAAAAAAAGGGTTGAGTGAGAGGTAAAGAAGATAAAGAGTGGGAGATGCACACAAAGTAAGAAATCTAAGTGAATATAGCATGCAATCCTCTGAAAGGCTGAGTTTTTGTGCAGAATGGCTGACTTAATTCTGAGTGGGTACAATGGGTAGTGCATGCCAACTTTCTGGATCTAAGAAGCCAATTTAAGTAGCAATTAATTAAGGGAAAAAAAAACCCTGAAGGCAAAAGCTAAAAAAGGTATTTATCTGAGTGGTCAGTTTAGTCACAAAGTTGTATATTTGAGACAAAAAATGCTGTGAGAGGAGCCAAAGGATAGGAGTCAGAAAGAAAAAACACATGGAATAAATGGGGCTTTTCTATTGGAAAAAGTTCTATGCAGTGAAAATTTAAAAATGCAAACAGCATCTGAACTAAAAAAAATAGGAAAGCTTTTTCTATAAATAGAAACTATGTGATATAAGACATACTGGTATGTCTTATGTCTTTACATATGAGAAACGAATAGGGGAAAGAAATAAAATTCTCAGCAGTAGAAAAGGAAATTAAAGATAAAAGTCCAATCATAGAAGCTATTTGAGTGATGGGGGAAATCAATAAGAAATTATGCCAGAGAGATATAAAAAGACTGGGGTGGTTTTTTTCATAAATAGCATAATCAGGGTAATGAAGTATAAACCTAAGCATGAATGTTTTATTTGGAAGTTTTCCTAGATTCATACTGAAAATCAAAAGCCCCAGAAAGCAGCTAGAAAAGCTTAGAATCCCCAGAATGACTGTACAAGTGCTCTAAAGAACAATTTCATTCAGAACAATATAAGCTGATATGAGAATAAGAGCTCCAGAGGAATAAGTCTGTTTTATTTAATTTTCATTTTTTAAAGGGGATTTGTTAATTTCCTTTATTGATTTAGGCTAAGAAAGATTTGATTCACTGAGTGAATGAGACAAAGGGGTGATCTTTAGCAACTTTACCTTACCCGTGGTAATGTTTACTTTTCTTTAATATTCAACTTTTCATTCAGACAGTGGATTTTCCTGGGTGAACATTTGACAGTAAACACCTGCAACCTGCCAGCTGTAAATCTAGAATGTTGATGGTCTTTTTAAAAACTCACTCACTTAAAAGGCTGCAAAAAGTAAAACGCTTTCCAGTGCTGAAGAGTAATCGTTTGTACAAAGGATATAAAGCTGTCTATATTAACTAAATACTTACCAATCCCATGGACTCATGAGTTAGTTGCACAAGTGCTGGGCTGTTTTCTAAAAGACGATCCCGCAAAGACAGTCAAAATCACATTCAAAAAACACCTCTGATCAAAACCAAATACTAATCTAGATGCATCTTGAATTACATGCTTTGATTTTACGCAATTTAATACAAACATGAGCCTGCATTCATACACAACCTGAAAGAAACAGATACTGGTAGGGGACCCTATACGGAACACATCAACAATTGCACAGTCACAATCTCTCTGCAGGCCTATGAAATCACCAGAAAATAACACTTTTTTCAGAAAGTAAGCATAAATTTATGAAAAGGAAAGTGACTCCTGTTTCTTCCTCTTGTTTTCATCAAGAAAACAGAATCAAATTATATTTCTTGTTATATGCAATCACTGATCTCTGTGACTACATGGGCCAAGAAGCAACAGGATATGGCCCAAACTTGCATGGTTATTTTGGTATATGAGATGTATTTTAGAAAAGCTAATAGTTATAAAGTATTAATAATAACTTACATTTTCCTTTAAACCCTAATGATTTTAGTGTTTCCCCTGAAAAATGCCTTGCTTCTAGCTATTATGTACTAGTAAAAAACTAGTACCAGTTTTATACTGATTTCTCATTTATTCATTCTGTAGGTAACAAACTTGTCCAAAGTAAGACGATGGTATGAGATTTTTTAAAAAGTAATTATTATCTGAGCTGTAGTAACTAAAAAAATTTTTCAGCTTTTCTCTATCATCATTAGCAGTGATCTTGAAGAAGTGAGACATGCATCATATTTGGAGGTGACACTTCATTTCACTGTGAGATACTCGAAGGCAAGGCTGACACAGACTGGAGGAAGGGCCTGAAGAAGACTTTATGATGTTCAGCAGGAAGAAACAGTAAATCCTGCCCCTGGCACAGGCTAACTAACTCCCATCAATAGCCCAGCCTGGGCACTGACAGCCTGTCAGCATCTCTGTGGAAAAGTGCTTGGGGCTCCTGATGGATGGCAAGCTGGGCATGAGCCAGCTGTGTGTCCCGGCAGCAAAGAGGTCAACAGCATCCTGGGCTGGATGAGCAGGAGCAGAGGCTGGAGAATGAGCAAAGGATTATTCTCCAATAGTTCACACTTTGCCTGTACCTGGAAACTCTGTTCAGTTTTGGTTCCTGCACTACAGGGAAGATTAACAAAAGGAGACAAATTGAGAACTGTGCTATTGGGATGGTTGGGGATGGAGCACTGACCTGCTGAAAAGAACATGGGGGATGTTGGCACGTTTTAGCCTGGAGAGGGAGTTCCTCTGAAGACAACTAATAACAGACCCTCAGTACTTACAGGAAGATCATCAAGGCAAAGCTAAGCTTTTCAGACTCACATGTAGTAACAGGATGAGTGACAACAGGCAAATGTTGAAATAAGAGAGGGCCTAACAGGTTATCAGAAGTATTTTCTCCAGGAGGACAGATGATCTGTGGAACAGGTTTCCTAGAAAGGCTCTGCAATCTCCATCTTTGGAGATTTTTGAGATGCAACTGGATAAATCCCTGAGTAACCTTGTCTGGCCCTATAGATGACCCTGAATTACCTTGGTGGTCTGTGATGCTTTCTACATGCTTTACTTTTGCTCCTTTCCACTGCAGACAGAAGACGAGACATCCACTGCGGTGGGATTCTTACCACTGGCATCACCACCAGCAGAAAGAGGCATTATCACACAGAGAGGGAGTATTTTTCTCCTAGATGTAAGTTTTCAGAGAAGAGCTCTGGTCCTTTCATATACACCTAGAAAAAGCATTCAGTTTTTGGTTTAAACACTCATGCTTTCACCATTAATTTTCCAAACAGGTACCTTGGGATTACTGTACAATGGAGCATTATCTTGTACAAGTGCTCAGGTTAGTAAGTCTTAAGTGCAGGCTTGGTGCCACAAAAATATAACACGCCCTTGTACAGATTTCACAATAATCACAATGTATTATTCACATAATACATCTTCAGAAATGCTTAACACACTATATGCAACCTGCATTTAATAACAGTAGAGTCATCAAGCTGCAAAATGCTCAGGTGGCCCATTCTTGTCTTACATTTCAAAACTAGTTTTTATTTTGCTCCTACACTTTCATGGCCTCTTAAATTTATATTAATTTGATTTGCATGCTTTTTTGGGATCTGAAAGCATTTCACATAAAATTATCAGAGTACAGATACAAAAACAAAAAAAGCTCCCCAGGAGCTGCTGTGAATTCCAGAAGGATTAAAAATTCTTTGAAATTCTGTAGAGAATGATGGAAAAAAAACAAAGATCAAGAAAGGATGTACTACTGAGAAGGAAAATACAAAGAAGAGGAATGGTCCGAACATACTATTCCATAAGAAATCAGTGAAGCAGAAGTAGGACCATATAGATAACAAGGGTAATACTCTGTTGAAACACTGCCAAAAGAAAGTAATTAATTTTTTCACTCACTGTTCATAACCGAATATGAAGTTAATGCCAGAAATTGACAGATAACTCACTAATTAGGATAGAAAAATACTGAAGGTACAGAAGTTATAAACAAATCAAGTTGTCTAGAGAGAATCAAGAAACATGGCTGCAATCTGCATGTATTTTAGAAACAGATTTTGATCTTGTAAATAAATTTCCAAAGATGCAATGACTACAGTATACAAAGAGTCAGCTGACTAGTATTTGCTTATGCAACAGTGAAAACTTGATCTGGATGTACATGACTAGAGGAGGGCAACACTTGGAATGATTTCTGTTTTTGCTCATTTTACATGCAGCGATAAAAGGAGACAACATGTAGTAAAGAAACAGTCCAGACTGAAAAGAAAGAACAAAGACATCAAACATAATGCAAATGACCTCTGCTCATTTTCAGAAGTATAAAATTGTCACAATGAAGAAACATCTATATATGACTGTAGTAAAGCACAGGTTGAAGGCTGAGATGCTTAGTCAACTAGTCCTATAAAAATCTGAAAAGAATGAATTTATGCACAGTGGTATGGAAAATATTTCTATTTAAATTAATTCTAATGAAATTACACTGGAGGGGGTGAATGTGGGAGGTTTGCATCTATTTGATTTCCTTTTATATAAGATATTTACTACCTCATATGAATTGGAAAAAAATAAAAGTAAAGTAACAAAAAATTGCAGATAACACAAAAACTGCAAGGAATTCTCATCAGGGTAAAAAGTAACAAAAAAAATTGGAACAGAAGCAGATTTGCAACAAGTCGCAAAATAACTAAAGTGCAAATTTGACAAATAAAACTACATATTTCTGCACCAAAATAAGCCAAAACTTCATCATCCAACAGTGACTTGAATTTCATTATGCTGACATTAAGCAGAGCCAAAATGCCAAAGAAATTCTGAGTTCTACTTTAATTTTGCACTGGTTTCACTAACACCAGTTGATCCTTAAACTGTTTTATCTATCCATTAAGTTAATTAAAAAAGACAAAGAGTCACCAACCCAGCAACTAAGTGCCTTTCCAGTTCTGTTTAGTACTCTGTATAAAATTAATGGTCATCTTCATATGTGACTGGAACATGGTGTCCCTAGCCAAATAAAGAAAACCTCAATTAGGCCCAGCTTCACAGGCAGCAAAAAAGGTTAAGGCAATTTTTGCTGCTTAAATATCACATCACAAAACAATGCTATTGCAGTACAAGTGGTTTTTTTTCATTGCACTTATTAAAAAAATATTTCTCTACCTGCTGAAATCTACGCAAATGCATTGACATGAATACATAGATCCATGTATAATACCTATATTCTATACATGACATAGATTAACTTGTGCTGATTCACCAGGGTCAGGATTTCCCCTCAATGTTGAATTAAAGAAACTGTGTCAGTGGGAAAACATTATTGATAAGAAACAATGAACCAGCACTAGGGGACATATAGAAAATGTTTGGGGTGTTTTTTAACATGTATATGGAACATATATGTGAAATTTTCCTACAGGTACTGAAATGTAAGTAGTAGTGCACTGACAGCTGCTACATGGAAGTAATTTACTGGCATGTTTTGACAGGTTTCAATTTGTCTACAACAAATCCTTAAAAGATTTTAGACAAACTGTTTGTTAAGTTTTATGATCCATTTTGACTTGTTGCTTATGTGCATAATACATTTATTCTCTTCTCTGTAAAAGGTTTGTCAAAGTAATATAATACACTACCTTCACAAAATATTAGTTTTCCCAATGAATGTTTTTTTTCTTTCAATCTCAGAAAAATATTTTAAAAACTGGAAAAATGAAGATGATGGAAATAGTTATTATAGCAGTTGTTTTGGTTATCTCCAGAAAGGTATGTGGTGAATGAAAGTCCTTATATGAAACAATTTTTAGCTAAATAAATGGCATTTAAATTTGTCATACTTACCATAAGAAGTCTATCTCCAACCTGCAATCTCCCATCTTTTTGTGCAGCTCCCCCATCAATAATCTTAGTGACATAAATGCTGTTGTCCCCAGGGATGTGTTGGTTTCCCACCCCTCCTGCAATACTGAATCCTAGACCTGGAAAAGATATTGTAAACAAAACATTAGCAATGCAACATATAACATTAAACAGAAGTGGAAAAGTAGTATATACAATGTAAACTTTGAGTATTTTTTACAGAAATACAAATAACATCCTCTTTCCTTTTCCCTGAAAGGTCAAGGGCAGAATTAAAGCAAGGGAATCCTTTGCCACTTACAATTACAGAAAGGTAGAGACAAAAATAATGGAACAGTGATGAATCTATACACCCTGTTCACTGGGGTCCAGTGCAGCCTACATCAACAAGTTATGGTTCAGCTTTCCATGATCAGCATTAAAACACTGAAACTCTGAGTTTATTTTGTTAAATATTGCTATAAAATACATCACCATCTGTCAGAACAAAATGCAAGATGGTCTGATTGTCCATATAATTTGAAAAATACTAGAAAAGGTCTAGCACAGGTTTTGTAAGTTCATGTTGTACCACAGTGAAGGATCAGTGAAAATAAAAGAGAAAAGGTGTAGATGTTTGATTTAAAGTGTGAGTTTTTTCCTTAGGACACAAATCTGTGCCTATGAACACATAAAATAAGAAAGCAATAGTCCTTTGTAAATATATAACTTGTATTCACTGATCTGTGAAATTCCTAGATAAACACTCAAAGACCCAGACTCTGGACTGATATCCATAATACATGATGATATGGTTCAAGAAAAGGAAGGCAAAATAAATAGATGTTGGGGGAAGAAAAAAAAGACACTTTTCCCCTTTTCCTACATTTCATATCCTTTGACACATTGCACACATGGGCAAATCATTGCTTTAATTTTTAGGAACATTTTATCTCTCAAAGAAAAGACAGAAATGACTGTGCTTGATTTCCACAGAAATTAACTTCATACAGCTATTTTTTCACAGATTATGCAGATAATGGGAATTTCTATATGAACAAAGGAGCTGTTTCTGACAATAACTTGCTTAGATTATTGCTCCAACTAGGGATTTCTCTAGTTGATCTAGTTGGATCTAGCTGTTTGTTCTGTACATAAAAACCAGTTATATCAATTTAGAGAGTAATCACCGGTTTTATCTATGAAATCTATGCTATTCACTCATTCCTAAAAGAAACATGTTGCTAATTGCTGTAGCCTGAACAATATATATTTAATGCACATAACATTTTTAGCAGCCATATGAGTACAGAGATAAGGGAAGGTTTTGAGTGAATTAAGTATTTTAAATTTTTTTTACCACTTTATTTTCATTTGACCATTATTTTAGCTTCAAAAAGATGTGAGGTCAGATCAGATACCATAATGGACTACTTAATGGAAGGTGCCACACCAGTAAATTACAAAAAGAAACCTTTGAATTTATATCTCCAATTGAAACACTACTTAATTAATTGACTATTAACAATACACATGAAGTTAATTCACATGTATGAGGTAATTAAAAGAAAGCTTTATTGAATTTCCAGCTAAAGCTCACAATCACTCTTACTATTTATGTGCTACTGTCAGTACATGGATAAAAAGCTTATAATGTTTTCAGCAGGGAAGAACTTTTTCCTGGGACTGATAACAAAGAAGAGAGAAGATATTCTAACAAAACATTAAGAATGAAAATTTTCTTTAAAACACTAGTTACGGACAAGGAACAATGATTGAATAATATTTCCTGGTGACATAATTTTAATCAATTTTATCGAAACCCCATCTGTACAGGCTGCTACCAGTAAAGAAAATATTCCAGAATGCTGGTGGGAGCAAATGAGTGGGCTAGATCTCAGCCAGAGGGCTTTCTTCAGCTCCACTGCTCACCCAGGGCATGACCATGGAAGATTAGGTTGCGGTGCACTGCCATGCCCTCCTCTTCCCTTTACTGACGCTGTACACGTGCAAAAGGCAAGGCCATTTCTGCACACACAGCTGCACAAAGTGGGTTATTCTGCCTGCTCCTGCTGCAACACAAGCAAGTAACAGCCAAGATAATCACCTGCATTTTCTGCAGTGCTGAGTGGGCGGCTTGCTTGCCGTTTGCACGGCTGTAGCACGGTGGCCATATGAAACCGTAAAACAAAAGAGCACCAACACAGGCTGCTTCCACTACAAAAGTGAAGCTTAAAATAATGGAATGAGTAACTTTCTCTACTACAATCTACATAAAATTTAGACGTGATACAACTCAGGGGCTACATTGCATTTGTAAGCAAGGTCTGACTTTGGGCATCCAAATAACCAGCAGTGATTACAGAAAGGTTTAGAAGAGCAGAACAAGATAAGGTAATATGGTGGGGAGCAAAAGGAGAGTGCGTAGGAAAGAAAACTGAGGAAGACAAACATTTTCCATGTCAATCAATAATGATTTAATTTCATTGCTTAATCATACTTGCCTTCTTTAAAAATTTCTTCTTGGAAAGAATACGGAATGGAACAATGCCCCAATTAATTTTATTTAAATTATTTCTGCTAATTGCTAGGGCACATGGAAAGTATACTACACAAAAACTTTTGGGTAGGATTCATATGGCCTAATGACATCTGACTACTATGTTTATCATTTATACGACCTGTACGATAAATGAAAATTCATTACGAGCTTTTAAAGTATGATTCATCTCATCTCAACAAGACATCTGAAAGAGACGAGGTGAATCATACTTTTGGTTTTTGAAAGGCTGGGGTCTGGATGTGGGAAGAGCTGAGTGGGAAGATCAGTGCTATGAGAGTTCGCAATCTGAGTTCATTGAGACTGAAGGTTTCTGTTTGCACACTTCGGAAAGGTTTGCTCAACCCTGGTGTGCATCTCTGGTCACTCACTACATCAGGTTAGTGTTGTATCAGACTCTTACTCTGTTCTAAAAGCAGAGAATCGTTCAAACAATGGAACAAGGTATGTTTTCTAAATGGTATTTTTCATTGTTCCATTGGATTACACCTTCCTCACCCCCATCAATAAAACAGCGTATTTGGTTGCAGAACCTTTTTCTTGTTGATTCCTTTGGTTATGAAAACCTTTCCATCAGAACACAGTTCAGGAGTTATCATTTCCTCTTTGGCTGATGTGCAATCTGCTTCACAGAAACAGCTGATCTTGGAGAGTGATCAAATTCCTCACAACAGGAATTAGATGGAGGAAAAATTCAGAATGGAGTTGAGGAAGAAATGCTTTATGATGATGGTGGTGAGGCACTGGCAACAAGATGCCCTGAAAAGTTGTGGATGCCCCACCCCTGGAAATGTTCAAAGCCAGGTTGAATGGGGCCTTGAGCAACCTAATCTAACACTAAGGAGTAGCAGGTTTGGAACTTAAAGATCCCTTCCAATCCAAATGATGCCATGTTCCTATGGTTCAGTGAAGAAAAGACTACTTCAAGAGGGGAAAAAAGTGAGAACTGGATTTAATACTGGTGCATATCCAAGTCAAACTCAGCTTTGTTCAAAATCACTGAAGAGGATAGGCCCTTTTAATATTGCCTCAATGTGTAAACTAGGAAAATTTAATCAAATCTAATTTCCTTCTATTTGGGTTCCACAAATGCTCATCACTAATCCTGTGAATAATAATGTGCAATAATCCCATGAAAAAGCAGACATATCTGGTATCAGAAAGAGGAAAAGGGATAGGGTCAAAAGCTATTCCATCAAAACTGGAAACTGCAGAAAAAATGCAACTATTAGTAAGTCTAAGATATTTAGTAGTACCTTTTCCTGGGATTATTAGCATGAACATGTTAAAATATTTGGGTATTTACATCTATTTTGCATTATTTGTCATACCAGATACATGTTTTAAATATATCACTATATTAGTAAAACAATATGTTCTAACTATTTTTCTAGTAAAAGTAGACTTGGAGGCTCCCCATATAATTAGTCCAGCAAGTTGGACTAATAAAAATAAATAATAATAATAATTAAAAATAATAAAACCTCTGTTAAAGACACAGTGGGTAAATGGATGTCACATTTTGCTACTATCCTACACAGAGAAACAAGCTTATTTTAAACAGCTAAGAGAGTGAGGATTTTAAAACACAAATACAAGAGTTTCACGGCTCCCAATAAGGGGAGGCCAAAGAAAGCAGCATTTAAGTAATAACCTTAAAATATAGTTAAGAAGTGTTTGATTTTCAGGTAGTTAACCAAAACAATTTGTTTTAGAGACATAAAACAGGCAATTCCTAATTCCTAGCTATACCACAGTACACCTTACCTCATAACTGACCTGCGAGCATAGACTTAGTGAAACCACAACAGGCACAGGACTTTCAACAGAAATATTATCATGTTAATGAATGAAATGTGAATGGCAGTAGGAATATAAGCACAAGAAGAAAGACTAAAGTTTAGAGAAATCATGTGTACTGACAGTGCAGAGCATTCCAAGCAATAAAAATCAAAATGAGTCATTTCTGTCAAACCTGGACAGAATGTCTGGGCTCTGTAAGACCATTGAACAGGTGTCTTGCCAGCAGAAGACCCTGTACCTTGACAGTGGGATGTTGGCAGCAAGATTGCAGTATGTGACATCTGCCATTCTCTTGCCAGTAAGCCCAATAGGGAAGCAGATCATATCAGTAAAAATGTGTGTTTACTAAATGAAAAAAATCAGCAGGTGAGCAGCCACATTATGGCTTTCAGACTGAAGAAAGGCATTCAATATAAAGGACCACCCATAACAACAGCAGACTCCTAGACAGTATAAATAATTTATCCAAAAAATCTGTCAGTTCATGGTTGCCACTCAAGAAAATGCCAAGAGATGTGTTAAGGGTTTGATGTCCCATGTCCTTTGTGTCACACACAAGTGAGCCAGACCACCTCAGCACATGCACCCTGGGGGATGTGGATGAAACAGAGAGTGAATGAAACACATGAAAGGAAGATCATAAATGGTTAACTTATTGAGAGATTTCTTGAATAAATGTCACTACCCCCTCTACACATTTTCTCATTGCTTTTTGCCACATTTGTTTCCTAAAGGTATGAAACAAACTGATTTGCTCCAGAGCACTGTGTGCAATCA